CAGACTAATTCAGATCAATGAAACTAACAGTCTCTGTCCATCTGGTAGATTTGAGGTCATCTGGTTCACTACAGCAGTAAAAATTAAAGGAAGCTAAATGTCATGCAGTCCCATCTACTCAGACCTTCTGATCCAGCAGGAGCAGCGACTCCCGTTCCAGAGGTGATCCAAACATATCTTTTGCATTTTCAATTTACAGCTCAACACCATCTTTGATCCCGAGGATTGATTTATGTTCTTTCAGAAGGACGACTTCAAACACGCAGTCGAACATGTTTCAAGTTGTTCTGAACTGCCACACAGGAAATGAACGCAGGCTGTGATGTGAGGGTGTATTAAAACACCGAGGGTGGTGCGATTTTGTTCGAGTAGCCAAAATGACGCTCAATTATGGGTTTGCTGTTTATTTTCACATCAAGTTATTTACAAGGTTCGGTCAAATTACAGTTTAGCGCCCAACTCTGAATACAAAATTCTGCTTCAAATGGCTGGAAAATAAAACACTAAGGTGTTAAAGGTGTTAATGATACTTTGTATATGTTATAGCTGTGATTTTAAACACAGTTGTTTCAGTGTTTACAAGCTTTATATTAATGTCCTCAGAAAGACTTAAAACATTTTAGGTCAGAAAACTTCCAGACGTTAATGTATTTGTGAGGATTTCTTACAATTATTCTGTGAATTTTGACGTTTTGTGAAACTAATTTGGTGTTGTAAAGTCTTGTTTTGCAAGATTCTTCATATGTAATCCAGAATGGCCTTCAGTTGGCCCAGCGTTGTTTCTGATGTCATCATCCATATTCAACAGGTCTCTCTTGTAAATGAGCCCTCGTGACTCAATGAGACTAACCTGTGTAAATAAAGTTTGAATGAATATTGACACTTTTTTGATCCTAGATTATTCTATCATTTGTTTCTTGTTGCTGTCTATCCACCTGTATCCAGACTTGTCATTTGGAAAATGTTACAATGTGCAATCATTGTCCCTATTAGCTGTGTTTTTTTTTTTTTTCTGGTTTAGTCACAAATTCTTTTGTTTGCTGGTTTCCATAGATTGCTGTAATTTCCTGCCTATAGAGCGCACCCGAATATAAGCAGAAAACACTAAAAATAAATAAATAAATAAACAAACATAAAATAGACTTTCATACATATTCAATCTGTGCTCGTGTATAAGTTGCGGGTGTTGACAAATTTACACAGAAACATTTTTTTAAGCTTTTAATTAAATATGCACTGGTAACATGCACCAAAACATACAGTAAATTTTTTTTGTTTGTTTTCTGAACAATGCCTTTAGCATAGCTGGTAAAAAAAAAAAAAATAAAAAAAAATACAGTAGCCTACCAGGAAAAGTCACTGATCGCTATGTTCATCTTCCTTCTGTGCACTAAAACCACTAGTCATCTTCTTAAGTGTCAGAATTGAACGGCTTCAGAAAAACTTATCACACACGTCCCCAGTTCGTTGTTGAAACAATACAGTAGTCTACCAGGAAGGCATTGATAGCCATCTTCATATTTCTCCTGCTGCAAGCTTGTGCGCCGCGGAGTAAAAGTTGCTCTGCAGCATGCAGGGGAGTCCCCGCTCACATGCTCTGCACATGGGGAACCCTCCTCCCTAGTCTCTCCTCCCCTACCCATTTCTAGTGGGCCGAGATGGTTTAGGGGCAGGGCAGCCGACTTGGGACCCCCGGGTTCGATCCCTGGTCATTGCACATCTCGTGGTGTCTCTGAGCAGCACACCTTATCTCTAGTTGCTCCCTGGGTGCTTTCAATATCTGCCCACTGTTCCACCTGGTGGTGGATGGGTTAAATGCAGAGAGCCAATTTCGCCATTGTATGGGAACATACAATGATGACAGTAAATACACATTATTATTATTATTATTATTCATTGGTTCAACTGTGACCTGTTTGGTAACTGCATTGTTGGGATTTTTTTAACCTTTATTTATACAGGTAGTCTCAATGAGTCACAAGGACCTACCCACCAAGAGAGGCGTGTATTGGACAGCTATGTGAGCGCCCGGATGTGACAAAGCTAAATGTTTTTGGTGGCAGGAAGCTCGTTAGTCTGTCCAAAAAAAAAAAAAAAAAAAAAAATCCATAAATTAGCCGCAGCATTGCATAAGCCGCGGGGATCAAAGACTGTGAAAAAAGTAGCGGCTTATAGACAGGAAATTACGGTAATCGAATCTCACTCATTTTCTTGTTTCAACAGTGTTTGCCATTTTAGGTTGTTATATTTGTTAGATGTTAAATGCTTATGAGACAAGTCTTAAAACAATTTCTACTTTAAAATTGAAGAATAACTGTCTCCTTTGGGGACATTGATTTACCTAAATTTCATTGGAATAAAAAAGAGCTTTAAAGAGAGGTAAATAACTGTGTCCTGTACAGCTGAGCTTAGAGTTGCTTTCCTTCAGTAGATGTGTGTTTATTCAGATATTATCAGTTCTCTAGAACAGCCAATATTTCTACACAAACATTAAATCCATCTCTGTCGTCCCTACCGTTAATGAATAACTTCTGTCACAGACGTTTTATCTTACCTGTCCTTCAAATGCAAAAGTGGATGGAAAGTTTTAATTATTCTTTCATTTCCTTTGAAAAACATGTTCATTTTCACATTTCCTAAGAAACTAATTTGCAGCTTCATGTGAGGAGAAAATATGAACTCATCTAGTAATGCATTTCATCACCCACTCAAATTATGTTCACATAATTTCAATAATAATTGTCAAATGTGTCAATGTGTAATATTGCTTCAGAATTCCGTAGCAAAATAGAAAATAAAAATGAAATTTATGGAATCAGTTCAATTCAGTTTATTTATATAGCGCCAAGTCACAACAGAAGTTATCCCAGGGCAATGAACAAAAAATTAACACATTATAAACGCCATTTAGTAAAGTTATCTATCTAAGGAAGGAAGCCAGCAGAATGCGTTGAATCTTCATTTCGTTGCAGTCTCCCATCCTGAGCAAGCACAAAGGCAGGAAGAAACCTCCAGCAGAACCAGGTTCAGGACAAGCCGCCCTCTGCTTCGACTATCTGTCCAAGATGACGCTATATTTATTTTTAAGGTAGTGAAGTTAACCTTCATCGTCAGAAGATGCAAATGTTTATCTTACATCAAAGTGAATAAACAGAAAATTACTTATTAAATAACGGAGCACAAATTAATAAATTAAAGGCACACTGTTCTTTGAAGGAATGCACAACACCTGGTTTTAGGCAAGAGTTTGGGTCCTCCCCCAGAACATTTGGAATAAAATAAATGCCATTTCCTGCATTTTGGTGTATTTTAACAGGTTTTTAAACATCTGTAAACATTTGATTAAACTGATTAAAAACAGGTCTGCCTTGTAAATGAATCCTCGAGGCTCAATGAGACTGACAACCTGTATAAATAAAGGTTGAAATGAAATTACTATTTTATAGAGCAACAACAACTAACAAGCCTGTGTGTGAATGCAGCTCCAAATCTGTCCAGCGTCCTACCCCCCCCCCCACACACACACACACTGAATGACCCGAACTCTGCTGAATTCAGTCCTGCACGTTCAATTCTCAGTTGTCCAGCTAAGGACAATGCATCCATCCATTTATTTTAGATAATAAAGTGGAGAGTCTTTTCGACATTTTGATTGCTGTTATTTTGATAAATTAGTGCCGTTGTTTTGATACGTGATGTAATGTGAATAATACACATCAAACATTTCACTCGTATTTATTTATTTACTGTACGCTTATTTATTATGTCTGAAATGTTATGCACCGCGGTGATGTATGCAGGAGTTCTGACACAGCAGTTGTGCGCGTGTCCTGCAGAGCTGTCTGGAGACGCTGTGCGGAAAACAAGTGTCTGCAGGGTCCACAGCTGAAGACGCTCCCTGCAGGACATGAAGTCCGCGTCTCTGCTGGGCAGGAGCATGTGCGCGAGCTGGTGCGCGTAGTGCGGTCGGAACATCCACTCCACAGACTGGGCAACGTCTCCTCTCGTTGTATTTTTAATAAATAATCAAAATTAAAATGTGCAATGACTTTGGACTTTTAGGGGCGGAGATGTAAGTTGCAGGATCTGAGCGGTCAAAAAGAGAGTTCACAGATCTTGTTCCGGCAGGATCCGGCTCAAATTAACCGCTGGCTATGACTATGGAGGTAGTGCTCTGTCGCCCTCACGCTGAGCCGTCTCCACCCCCACATGCTCAAAAACTGATGGTACAAACAGCGTGCAACACAGATGTGTCTCCCCCCCCACAACAAAAATCACAGAAGATACAAGTGCCCTGCCAAGGCAAGTAAACTAGCCTTTTGTTCCAATCTTGAAAATAACATTAAATACAATCTCAAGCAATTCTGTGAGATCATTGCAATCTTTTGTCCATTTGGTAGTGAGCAATAATTCAGGATTTGTAAGGAACAGAAAAAATTGTTGGTAAAATTAATGTGGTTTCTTAGTCATTTAGAGGTCATGTAAATAACGTTAATCTTCCTCCTGCTGTTTATTTGGCCTTTTTTTACTCAGGCACAGAGTGAGCCTGTCTGGATGACTAAAAATCAGCAGACAGCGAAGCACATTTTATCATTATGGTGATGTTAGTTCATGGTGAGGTCATAAAACAATCTCAGATGAAATTAATGCTGAATATAACTTTGATAATTAATCTTTTCAATAAAGAATAATCTTGTACTGGAATGTACAGACGGTATGTACAATTTAAATTAAAACATCTTTAGCCTAATAAATTATATAGAAAACGTTATGCGACCATTGTTGCAGGTTATTTAAAGACTGATACACACCTTTTGTGCGGTAATTATGTAAAGTTGTGTCTCATTGGATCAAGTTTGAATTCTAAAATAAACGATAATGAATTCCTTCAACAACTCGTGATCAAATTCTGCAGAAACCTGTCCGTGACGATCAGTTTCAGTCAGGAACGAGAAAAAGCTCTAAAACAAGATTAGGATGCACTGGTTTGAAGCACTAACCTCTGAGAACCTCTGAACGTCCTGTGTGAGGGTCCCCACACGGGTCCAGTTGTAGTGGTTGAGAAACTTAACCACAGCTGGGTTCACGGCGTTGTCGGACGGGACGGTGCGGAAGAAGTTGGGGTACTTTTTCTTGTCTGCCAGAACCGGAGTTGTTGCGGCAAAGGACAGCTGTAACGAAAGAAGATGAAGAAGTAATGTGAACGTGGAGTTCATCTGTAAAAGCATACATAATTCATCCTGGTATCAAGCTGACATATCGTTCTGTGTGCCATCTTTCACGCTAAGAATTAAATTTTTGGAATATAATCATATCAAGCGTGCACAGAAACGTGTTCATAATCTGGTTTGTCAGCACATCAGTTCATTTTACTTTAAATCCAAGCAAGCCAGCCCTTTTGACATTTTAAACACATCTGTAAATATTTAGAGGAGCTGATGACCTGTGTGTGTGACCTTTCAAGCTGCTTGAACGCTGCGAGTGTGAATCAGGAAGCACGTATATGTATGTGATTACCTATTTGTGTTTGTTTGTGTGTGCTCTGATGACAGGAGAAAAACAGCTTAGCGATTCGACTCATCCCTTGGCTGGTAAGTACAAACACTTCCGCTCGTCACACAGAAGCACTTTGAATCAGATTCCTGAGATACTTGCGCAGCTGCAAATAGACGCACACCCAACCGAGCAGAAAATGTGCTGAACCTAAAACACTAATTGCCTTTTTACGCACGCATAATATTCAGCTGAAATGCTGCAACCCAAACAGGTTTGAAGGGCATCGTCTGGAAATCGGTTCATGCCCTCGATGAGCATACACAAAACTCTGAGATCAGAGGAACATTTATTTTATTTTAGTATTTTAAGTGTTTTAGAATATACTTTGCAGCATACTGGCATAAATCACCCTTTAACTTAAAATAGTTTAAAAGGTATGAACTTAAAACAATAGTTTATATTTTTAAATGGGGTTCAGCGGAAACAATTTGAACAATTAATATCTTCCCTGTTGTGGATAACTCTTTAAAGAACCTGTTTGTAATATGAGCAGGGCCGAGACCAAAGGGATTTGCTGCCCTCTGTCAATTTTGATTTAAACTTTAATTTGCATTTTATTGTAAGATGTCTAAAACGCAGCAACTAGCTGTAGCATTTCCCACTTCTGGCAGGAATATCGACATCTCTGCCTAACAAGCATTTAATGCTGAACTTAAAGCAGTGTAAAGCCTTGGAAAACAGTTTGCATTTGAAGCTTTAGGCACTGGAGTTGTTTTCAGATGCTACAAGTCACTTTGGTCTTGGCCCTGCTTGGACGAGCTGTTAGCTTGTCAATTCAGTCAGAAATAAACTTTGTTTCTCTAAACTGATGTCGTTCAAGGAGGAATCTATAACAGGTGAGATGTACTTTTTTAATCTTTCCACAGAATACTACTTCAAATGGTTTGAGCTATTTAATGCAACACTGGTTTTATCACAATAATTCCAATTTGCAAAGTTATTTATTTAAAAGAGTCTACACTGAGAAGGTGTGCAAAAGCTTTTCCAGTTTTAAAGACAAAATCTATTTACTCCGGTAAAAACAAAACTTTAATAGGTGTGTAAAACATTTACAGAATCCCATACCACTATTAACTTTAAGACCACGTTCTCGGAGTTAACAGACGAACACACTATTACATTGGTAAAGTTGCTCTGAAGCATTTTTTTTATATTTATGATGAAAAGTAGCACAGACATCTATAAGAAACCTTAAACAGTTAAGTATTTTTTGCAATCAAAGAAAAACATTTTGACGGCGTCTCTTAGACCTGTAATGACAGCAAAGTTAATAAAAATAAAATCAATAAAGGAGCGCAGACATTTTGACAAAACCTGAAGAATTTTTGAAAATAACTTTTAACATTGCAAGTTTAGAAGGCACAGCATTTAGACAAAACCCCAGCTGAGTTTGGATAATAAGGCATCGTGCTCCATTTTCAGGGTTCTCTGTTAATTTGACGAGCGATATGAATCAGTGCTGTGTTAATTACACACGTCGTAAAATTCAGCCAAACTTGGGAATCATGATTGAGATCAACACAATTTTTACTGAGATGTACAGAACATTTCCTGCAAATACACCAAGAACTTCCTAATATTTTGTTTTGAAGTAAAACCAAACCATGATCAGAAATGTATACGTCTGAACTTTATTATTAGTGAAAACGGTTAAATAATTGTGATTTAATAAATGAGTGACTGGAAGAAAATAATAGGACCCGTCTATCCATCCATTAACTTTTCCAGCTTCTTCCTTATTGGGTCACGGGGGTCACTGTATCCAGCAATCACTGTGTGACGGGGGGTGGGGTGGGGTCCAAATCCATCACAGGGACACAGAGAGACAAACGAGACAAACAACCATTCACTCTCTCACTCACACCTAGGGACAATTTAGAGTTACCAATCAGCCTAACATGCATGTTTTTGGTCTGTGGGTGGAAACAGGAGAACCTGGAGAAAACCCACACATGCATGGAGAGAACATGCAAACTCCACCCGGAACAGCCCCTATGATCAAGCGACCTTCTCGCTGAGAGGCAGCAGCTCTACTATCTGCGCCACTGTGCCACCCTGAACCAATTCAGTGGATCACATCTATACAAATCTTCACCCAGTCAGCGGGAGAACCTATTTTTTTTTCCCACAAATCACCCCTCTCATGAGGATTAGTCTTCACACATCAACTGGACAGGTTTATAAAACAACACATGGATTACAGCCATCAATTATGCAGAAGGAACGACTTTTATTGCTCCACCACTGATAAATCTCAAAATCACCCGCCAGTGAGAAAGAACTTCCAGGGTTTTCTTTTTTTATCCTCGTCCCCAGATTCGTCTTGATCTTAGTTTAGCTGATTTCCAGCGTCGTGCACCAACAGCTGGAGACGCTGCAATGGATTTCTGATAAGCGTTGGTGATATTTTCAAACCAACCTTAATATATTCTCACAGATGCAACAGATAGAAACTGCATGGAATGAAGAAACATAAACTCACCAGTTCCCTCTTTGGTGGTTGAGGTTCATGTGAAATAGGCTGTCTTTTTAATTTAAATTAATTTGTGTCAACATTAAACTGGCATGGAGGATACAGTAGAAACAATCCAATCCTTAATTTAGTTACTTAATCACGACCAAAGTGGAGTGATGCCATCTTAAAACAGCTGCAGCAACGTTTTCTAAACTTTTCACTTTAGTTATTTTGCATTGCATGGTTGTTTTTCCAGAAATATAATATTCTTGCCAGAAATGCTGCTGCTGCATTACTTGTAAATACCCCGTTGGCATTTTCACATTATCCTGGAGAAAAAGCATTCTTCAGACTTCAGACTGCTCTGAAAGTGCTACAGCTAGCTGCTACTACTGCAGTTTGTGCTTTCAAATAACCATAGAATTAGAGGAGGGAGAAAAAAAACGCTGTAATGTAAAAGCTGACAGCAATGTAAAGGTAAAAAAAAACAACAACACTGTTGACATACTTTATATGAAGTCAGTGTTTCCCCTATTATTATACAAAAGGGGTGCCCCACCCCATGAACCGAACTGAGCGTCCCATCTACCGAACCCCGCGCACCGCCCCCACCTGTCGGCACTGACATAATGCTAAGCTAGCGTCTCGCAATACAGGTGCACTAGCTAAAAAGCTAAAGGCAGCCACTTCCCTCCTGCTGAACCCTCACGCTGAAACCCCTCTCCACGAAAACTGTCGTAACAAACAGTGCGCAGCTCAGATGTGTCTCTGCCCCCCACCCTCAACAAAAATCACGAAGATAAGCGCCCAAGTTATCTAAGGGACAACGCTGGAAGTTGTTTTAAGATGGCAATCTGATCAGAAACAAACTATTTCTTCCACATGAGATCATTAAAAGAGCCATCCTCTACAGATAAGATATTAACTGTCCAAAACTTCTCCACGTAACCCTGTCAAAATTTAAACTTGGTTTAATTTGGCTTAATAATAACCTCAAGAGATGACACTCTCCTGTAAGTCACTGAGGAATGCTAATATTAGAACAAGAGAATTGTTAAAAATAATGGCTTTAAATTTGTTGACTTGGACTCATAAAGCCATAAAACAAGTCATCAGAGTCAGAATATTAGGCAAGTAAAAACAGATTTTCATCTCTTTGATGTCAGAAAGAAATCTGGGGCAGTGAGAAAAACACTCGTTTGGGCCCTGAATCCAGGTCAGATGTTTTGCAGAGCTTAGGTTTACAAAAATAAAATCCATTTTGTCCCTGTCTTAAGGAGGCCAAGCTCTACAGGTCAGATCGAGCTAGCTGCTACGGTTTTGAGGAGGACAGCAGAAAGAAATGAGTGGAGGATTCAGATAAATCATTTCAAGAATTTACAGATCTTTATATAACTTGGGACTGCTTTTCAATATATATTTTAATTTAAGATAAAAAAACAAAACAAATAATAATCTCATGGTATCACTTGATTTAAAAGGTGATCAGTCTAAACATGAGGGTAGAAAACTTTTCAAGCCACATTTACATGTAAAGTGTGCACGTACACATATATCACTTACAGGTTACGTGCACACTCACACACACACTAGCCTAATCTCCTTCAGATCGCACACAGGCTGCAGCAACCCTCCCTTTGCCAGCAGTAATTAAAAATGTGGCGGCGGTCTCCGGGCAGCTTCCCCCCCCCTCTCATCTCACTACAAGGTCACAGAGGCTCTCGGTAATACCGCAGAGAATCTCTCTGGCCTTACTGAGACGTAACGTTTTCCCAAAGACAAGCGGCGGATCACTGATACCATCACGGTAGAAACATGTTTAGACATTCTGCACACACAGCTGGCTGTATATCACAGCCTGGTCCACGTGAAATCAAAAGCTTTACCGCCTCTGAGCTTCGGCTTCTTCAAGTCGCAATCCATAAAAACAGAGCGGGGGGAGAGCTGCAGAGAGATGAGATGTTTACTGCTGAATGAATCTGGTTTTGTGTGTCTGATGCAGTGACATAACTGAGTAAACGGATTACATTTCAAATAGTGTGAGTTTGGTTTATTTGATTTGAGGCTTATCCACTCAGAACTGTCACCATGCTGCCCAGTGATGAGTTTAAACCATAGATTTTGACTTAATTTTATTGTTTTTATCACCTGTGGAGCTCA